ATATTGAACATTTTTTATTTTTTTACTTTACTGTTGGGAAATAGTAGGGGTCTAAACAGACCCCCGATATTTCCCTTTTAAAATAGAAAAAGAGATTGAGGACACAGAGCCCCAATCTCTTTTGCTGTATCCCCTCTTATCAAAGAACCAGAATCTTCTATACTGAGTGTTCCTGTTCATTGATAACATTGAGGACAGAGAAGGATTACTATAACCACAATCATGAATAAAAAGGAGGTGATGTAGATCACTTCTCATGCATTCATAATTGAGGATATAGCAAACATACTATGTCCTCAATTATGTACAAACACTGATCACTGACTGCTTGTACCCGCTCTCCATCCTGACAGCTGTCACAGGAGGCTGAGCGAGTGGTGTGAGGAGGAGAGCTCAGCCTCCTGTGAGAGCGCCGGCTGTCTCCGCCCACACAGTGCTCTCCCAGAGGGGAGATGTGGGAACAGAGGGGATGTGGGGGTGAGTGGGAACTGTATTTGTAGTCCTCTATAGTTCATGTACTCGGTCTAGAAAAAATGCTCCTTCGCCTGTGTAGGCAAAAATCCTTGCACCGGCCCTGGGGTCAAATAAAAAAAAAATATATGTGGTATATATGTTAAATCTATCAATAAATTACATATATAGGTCTTGAAAAAACACAATAACAATCACTTTAATATACAACACCTCTTCATTTGCCACACTGCAACGACATGCACCTCTGCATTCAATAACACAGCAACAACCTGCACGTCTGCATTCAACAACCTGCACCTCTGCATTCAACAACACTGCAACAACCTGCACCTCTTCATTTGAAAACACCGCAACAACCTGCATCTCTGCATTCAACAACATCGCAACAACCTGCACGTCTGCATTCAACAACACCCCAACAACATGCACATCTGCATTCGACAACATGTTTTTCTGCAGTTCCCAACAAATGCAACTGTGGATTTTGGCACTTGCTGACACTGCAATGATGCACACTTTTGCAGGGCCGACACCTCCCCGTCACACGCTGTATGTTCATCCCGTTTAACAGAGCTCCACACTTTTGCTAGTGATGATGAAAACACTTTCTTAATCATTACTAGCAAAGTGTGGCTTTTTATTTCACAATAATTCTATCTTACAAATGTTCAGTTTACAAACATACATTTTATTTTGCTGTGAAATTGTTGCCTGAAATGGTCACTTTCTCAAAGATTATCATTTTAGCTCACAATTTAAAAAACTTTAATGAATATGTTACTTGCCATTTCTGCACCTGGGCCACTTGCTGACTTTGCCACTGCATTGAACTCAATAAATAGGAGGGGAGTCAATATACTTTTGCCCATATTGAGCAGAAGACCTTATCGGGTGATAATGCAGCATCTGCAGCACCTACTAAAAACTAAAAATATCACTTTTGGGTAGGCAGACCCTTTCAGGCGAATTGTGCATGGATGAATGAAGCTGTATCATGGTCTATCATGACGGATCAGAATGAAGGTGTTGAACACATGAAGATTACTGTGGATGAAAAATGTCAGAGGACACTAGATGTGCAGAACTGCAAGTGAAAACATCTGCATGTCATATTACGTGTTTGTAACGCATCACTTAAGACAATGGGTACCTTACATTTCTGCTAAGCTTCTTAAAGATGAAAATATGTTTTCTGTCACTAAGCTGATCTGGTTCCCACGTAAGAACCTACAGTAAGAAACATACTGCATGACCAATAAAAAATAGCATTATGCAAGTGATATGCTGACAGATGAAAGTTTTACAGCATGAACCCAACCGAAACCCAATCATGTAAAAGAGCAATTTCCCACTAAAGAAGATTCTACAGTTTTGGGTAAAGTTGGCATGTTGATCTTTTGTTGGGTCTCTTCTGTTGTCAACTATCCGAAAACTTGGTTGTGACATGAATTTTACTTTCACTTTCAGCCAGGCTCTAGAGAGGATTAGGGTTACCGGGAGGGTTAGTATGAAGGTTATTGTAAGGGTTCAAGGAAGAGTTGCTATGAAGGTTAGTGTTAGGGTTACGGGGAGGGTTAGTATGAAGGTTAGTGTTAGGGTTACAGGGAGGGTTAGTATGAAAGTTAGTGTTAGGGTTATAGGAAGGGTTACTATGAAGGTTAGTGTTAGGGTTACAGGGAGGGTTAGTATGAAAGTTAGTGTTAGGGTTATAGGAAGGGTTACTATGAAGGTTAGTGTTAGGGTTACAGGGAGGGTTAGTATAAAGGTATGTGTTAGGGTTACAGGGAAGGTTAATATAAAGGTTAGTGTTAGGGTTATAAGGAGGGTTAGTATGAAGGTTAGTGTTAAAGTAGTATAAAACTCTCAAACTTTTTAAATTAATGAATCCAGTGTTGGTTATGTGTTTAGATAAAGCATTGAGATCTTGAGGAAGGCTGGATTAAGTTTTACTTGCTTAGAAGAACATTACATGTATGAATATGGCATTGTGAAGGAAACGAAAACCTCCTGTGTATCATAGAAAAGCATGAACATAGAAACAAACATTGCACTACACTGCCATCTACAGCTCAAAAAACAAATTACATACGTATATCGGCATGTGCTGCTGTATTTCCAACATCCAGTATAGACAAATATACATTTCTCAGCAAAGCATTGCTTTACATTTTTGCCAAACACTTACAATCATCATGTTTCTGAACAGCTGCTTCCAGGTCTCTCAGCTCAGCTTCCATGAACTGCCTGTCCAGTACAAGATCACAAGGGACAGAGCAGACTCCAGCAACTTTTTATCTACTTTGGAGAGGGAGGAGAGGGGGGCCAAGGGAAAGGGAAGTAGCTTGATTTGCTGTGTCTTTGTGTTTGTGGAGGCACACACAGCTTATTAACACACACAACAATGACTGCATAGCACTCTGCTTGAGAAAGGAGTCACTCTAAAACAGGAAGTCAGGACCAGTGCTCAGGGGACCAGCTGATTCTGCAGGAAACTAGAACTTTTAAAAATCAGAAGCAGCATCTATTGTAAGTGGTTTCATCAGCATTTGAAATAGCTTAAAATCCTAAAACACTCTAAGGTTTCAGGGAGGGTTAGTATGAAGTTTAGTGTTAGTGTTACAGGGAGGGTCAGTAAGAAGGTTAGTGTGAGGGTTACATGAGGGTAGCATGAAGGTTAATGTAACGCTACATTGAGAATTGGTATGAAGGTTAGTTTTAGGGTTACAGGGAGGATTAGTATGAAGGTTAGTGTGAGGGTTATAGGGAGGGTTAGCATGAAAGTTAGTTTTTCGGGTTACAGGGAGGGTTAGTATGAGCATACCCTGGGCAAACCCTTGGTAATTCAGCCTCTATGTGGGCAAACATTTGTGGATACCTGGCTATCACACCTATACAAGCTTGTTGGACATCCCATTCTAGATCCATGGGCATCAATATGAAGTTGCCCCACCCCTTTTGAAGTTATACCAACGTCCACTCTTCTGGTAAGGCCTTTTACAAGATTTTGCACATGCCACCATTGCTAGGACTAATAATGACATTCACAATTGGTTTAACGGCAGTTATCTAGTTCCTGGCTGATGATCAGTTTCATTAGAAATTGATCATATGTCAAAAGTAGGGTTTTCCAGAAAAGAAAAAAACTTCCATTCATGAAACAGAAATACAGTAGAATGCTGCATCAGACCTTGAGAATTTGCAACAGATAAATGAGAAATTGGCGTTCCTTCAAGAGTTTAACCCCCCCCCCCCCAAGTCATAAATAATAGCAGAACCCTTAAAAACCAAATTCTGCAGACATTTCCACAAGGCTTTTACATTAAATGAATACATTCTTAGCCAACTGAACTATTAGCATTACATTTCTGTTGTCCTCTTACCATCAGAGGTTAGCAGGTAAAATGTAAAAAAACAACAACATATAAATGAAAAATAATAAAAACTTACAGAACAGTGAGCTCATCACAGGTTACAAAACTGGTATTACTAAGTCCTCTGATGTTATTTCCTTCAAAATCCCTGCAAAAACAAAAAATGAGGGATGCATTTTTGATAAAATTGATTATTTAAACATACACGTGCACACATATCTCCATCTGACCAATAAATGTATTAGGACATGTTCAGATCCAAAGCTTTGGCACTTGAGTTAAAATCCCAGATTACACAAAATTGGCAAAGGAACCATGTGCAGATGTGCTCAATAAGTAACTGAACCTTCCTTCCTTCCTTTCCTTGGCTGGTGTTTGCCGAGTATATGTTCTATGTTCTATATTGTCTTCCTAAAACTGGAGCTTTTTTTTTTTCTAGTAAAGACAAAAAAAATTAGGCACACAAAATTTTGATACCAGTAACTTTTGGGGCTATAGTTTCATTGATGCCATGTATTTGGCACTGATAGTTATATTGCATGTGTTACTGTGCACATTTATCCGTATTGAAAGACTAGAACAAACTAGGCTATCTGCTTTTAAACTGATCCCTACTACTCAAACTAGTGATCCCGGTGGCATATTTTTTTTGTTATAATAGTTTTTATTAAAGGAAAACATTTAAGTATATTAATGCCGGTATAGTGTAGTGTCAATTCATAACTGAGACACCATTTCAATAAAAAAACAAGTGTACATGCAACAAGATATTTTAATGGTAAAAAAACAAAGTGACACCAGAATCATACTGTTATAAACAATACATGGATCAGAAGCCAAATAGATAATTACTATGGCCAATAACAAAGGCGTTCCATGGAATTATATTTCCAGAGAGTGACACAGGCCAGGGGAATAACCGTAGACGACCCATGGCTTCCAAACCTAAACAGTTGCATGGAGTTCAACTTAACTGAATTAATCTTTTCTCACATCTGCATTGAGCTGATGAGGTCTTTAAAGTGTATGAAAACCCTAACAATGAATGTCACATATGTGCCCCCTTTCGGTCTGTAAAATATTACATTAAAAGGGTTTAGTTGTATCTGTTTCATAGCAAAATTTTGAATGCAAAAATGTTTTTGTTGATCCTGCCATAAACCTTATGAGCCGATATCTTCTAGTGCTGTTAGCCTTTGCTGACTGTTGTGTTAGCTTTGTAATCTGTTTTGTCTGTGCACTAGAGAACACCTCCCCGCTATGTTATGAAGAGGAGGGGAGGAGGAGATTTTCTATAGTTAAAAATGCCCTGTCCAAGGGTGCTCTTCCTTAGCTACAGTACAGTGAGGGAACGTTGGATAGGAAATGTTTTAATGGCAGGATCACTAGGTGAAAATAAAAAATACATTTAAAAAAAGGACAAAAGGAAACTAATGCAGCAGGTGGGGAGTTTCACTTAGTACTATTAGGTTGCATGGCAAGCGGGGCTACAGATTGAATTGCTTTATAGCAGGTATTGTATCTCCTCACTAAAACAGAGGTGCCCACTTCCATTTCGGAAAAAACACAAGAAATAGTCCAAGCCACTGCAATCTGGCTTTCTGAATCTGATGTTTGTGTCGCTTGTTGCTTTGATGGAGACTATTGGCTCTTTGTTGGAATTTGTAATACGTGTTGTTAGCCTTTAGGCTTAAGAACTGAACAATCAGTCCTTTCATTATACCTGCACATGTGACATGAGCATACATTCCTATAAGGCACAGCTTTCCAGCAAGTGCTTTGTACTTCTTTGTTATATCAAAAGAAATGGAAGCAAAATAGAACAAAATGTTGCAATCTATCAGATCTCCTGTAATCATTGAACAATCACTTTTTATGGCTGTGGTTAGACTGAGGTCCTTTGAGTTTGGCCACATGTAAGTGATGTTTAAGCTAAAAGGATTTTAAGTTATCTCTAATGCTGATGAAATCACTTACAATGTATGCTGCTTCTTGATGTTTAAAAGTTTTAGGTTCCTGCAGAATCAGCTGGTCCCTGAGTACTGGCTCTGATATCTCATTTTAGGGTGTCTCCTTGTCTGTGCTAGTAAGCACACAGACACAGCAAGGCAAGTCACTAACCTCTTCCCTGCTCTCCCTCCCCATTCCTCCCTGCTCCATGCTAGTATATAGACAGCAGCTGAAGACTGTACTTTTCCTTGTGATCTTGTACTGGACAGGAAGTCCAGGGATGCTGAGCTGAGAGAGTTGAAGTCAGCTTTTTGGAAACATGATGACTGTAGGTGTTTGACCAAAAATGTAAGAAATACTTTGCAGGATAATGTATACGTGTTTGATCTGGATTCATTATTGAAAAAAACAAATGAGAATGTAATACTGCTTTAAAATGTAAACCTTTGCTAGGGTTAGGGCAGTGGTGTATTTTGATTTGGGGCTGCTCTAGGCAAGACGAAACTCGGGCATCCCCCAATCTAAATTTGCCCGACCCCTTCATGTTTAAGACTTTTTGCATAACCTGTTAGTCGCTAGAGACAGCACACATGCTGTATCCAGCTGGGGTCTCAGGTGGGCTTTGCAGGATCTATGGTGGACTGTGTGGGGGTCTCAGGTGGGCTGTGAAGGATCTGCAAAGCCCACCCGAGACCCTGCACAGCCCACCTCAGATCCTGCACAGCCCACCTGAGACCCTGCAGAGCCCATCATAGACCTGTAGAGCCCCCCACAGATCTAGCACAGCCCACCAGGGACCCTGCAGAGCCCACCATAGACCCTGCACAGCCCACCACAGATCCTGCACAGCCCACCACAGATCCTGCACAGCCCACCACAGATCCTGCACAGCCCACCATAGACCCTGCACAGCCCACCATAGACCCTGCACAACCCACCTGAGATTCGCAGGTGGGCCGTGCAGAATCTATGGTGGGCTCTCCAGGGTCCCTTTTGCCTGCACACGTGCACTCCTCTTACCTGCTGCTTCCCCCCCTGCCCCCAGGACATCTATTGTCCGCCCCAAACCACCTGCTGCTTAGCCCTCAGCTTCCTCCGCCTCCGCTGCTGGACCGGCCCTGATGGGCCCCGGCCTCCTTCCCCTCTGTCACCAGCCGGGGATTTCGACAGAACACCAGAGCTCTATTATGAGGCGGCCGTGACACCCGCAAGTTTACTTGCCTGATACTGTGCAGCCTGGCTTGCCTCACTGTTTTGGATAAGTGCCGCTGAAGGCAAACACCTTGCTTGCCTTACGGTAGGTATGCACCTGGGTTAGGGTGCTAATAAACTAGCTTGGCTTTGCCCAAGCATGGGCCAGGAGGAGACCTGTAGGCCTGGTCTAATGTTGTTGGACGAAATGGATTTTAAATAGCTATGTCAGTTGCACTGCTCTATCAAAGGCAATGATGAATAAAACAATAAAACATGTCCACAGTAATTTGTTCTTCATGTAAATGTTTAATTGTCAAATAACTTACATCCAATTAATGAATGGCATCTGGGCACATAGCTTTTCAGGAAGGGCTTCCAGTGAGTTGTTTATCATTGATCTACATAAAACAAGCAAGCTATTATTACAAAATGATAAACTATATTCATAGAAGAAACATTAGCTACTGTATCTATATATGATGATTTTGTTTTGAGGACCAAAGAGAGTTACGCTACGTAAATATTTGTATATTTTAAGTAATGTACTGTAGATGTTCTCAGGTAAATTAAGCTGACAGGAGATGCACCCTGTGCTTTTCTGTGGTGTTTCCTGCAGTATTGTCCTACTTAATTCTTTGGTCACTTTTAAAACTGTGAAACTTGCTGTTCTATGAACAACAATGAAGTGTTTCTTCTACTAAACACTTGACAAAGAAAGCAGCTGGACACTATTCTGCCTAATCTACGTGCCTACTGTCAGCAGAAAAAGTGTTTACCCTTCAATGTGGGCTCAGTTAATCACTCGAGTTTCAGGTCCTATTTAAAAGCAGAGCTAGAATTGCATTCCATTGCCTAAAAGGAGGCAGTGGGTCCCTGCGGTGCTAAACCCAGCAGCGGAACTCTTAAACTCTTATTCTGGCCATAACAGTAATCTGAGTAATCTGCAGCCAAGACTGTCCTTAGGTAAATTGTCACCTGATGTCGTTCTGGGGGTTGTAGGTTGGGGTGCTGTCAGGGAATGGTCAGTGGTGGGGGGAGGTATGTGCGGCTGATTTGTTTGAAGAGGGCGGGGGCGGACAACAGACCGCGGTGCGTTGTCAGTGGCTCTGTCCGGTGTCCCACCCAGCTGACTGATGTTACTGGGTGTCAGGAGCTAAGCGGGATGCAAACAAGAGCATCCCTGCTCAGCTCCTGGCAACCTTTCATGTCACTGAGCTGGGAGGCACCGCTAAGAGCTCTTAGCAACCTGGGAGCCTCAGGCTGCTCATTATAGGGACAGACCTGAGTGCAACCAAAATGTGACCACTCTATGGAGTCATGTGATTCCTCTCAGTAAACTTTGTACCCCTCCCGCACATCAGTTTGTTTGCTAGATATACCTATAGATGGGCAGATAGGGTAAATAAAAAAGGAAGTACTTAGAGTTCCATTTGTACATTTATACTTGTGACTTTGGCCTTCCCCCAATGGCCATTCTGCTCCAAACATAGGCTCATAAATGCATTATAGATAATACAGCCCTGCTGTTTAGTTGCAAAAACAACCTTTGTCTCCATTGAAAGTCCTCCCCTGAACCATATATCTTTTTAGTTTTGTTTTATACAGGTTCACAAGCATTAAAAAATTAGGCTAGCATATATATATACACTTGTTTGCACCACTGTCTAAGTAGACTTACACCAGATTCAAAACAGAACAATAAATAGAAAATAGACAGAAAAAAATACATAGAATAGAAAAGAATTACAATCAGTGCCTGACAACCCCATCTTTAAAACTTCTTAAAAGAGATGAGGGTTATAAAAACACGGTATGTTAGGGAGAAGGGACAAAAAATGCAAGAATAAACCATCACTTTTATTATTGATATGATTACATTTAAATAAAAAATAATCTATATGTGCATATAAGGGACGATATCACGTCAAATAATAATTACAACTCTTTTACACTGGGATTCAAAATAACACCAAATGCCAGATCAGTCATTTTGTCTAACCCTTTTGTACCCAGGGGTTATTGACGTCTAGAAGCTCATGACACCAAATTTAGCAGGATTATAACGGGTTGGTTAGATTGACAATAACTCTATGATTAATTTGCCTTCCTTACGGACAAATAAGGGTTTTATGTAAAAAAAAGTATTTGAAATTAATTTATAATTTTTTTTAAATATTATAACATGGGAACTACAGTATTAAATAGAGGCACACCACCATCCTCAAACAGAAGTGTAATTTGCAAACTGAAAGCATTTTCTTTCCTGAATAAAGCCTCCAGCGTGCATATAATCACTATGTCATAGCAATCAGAGTGGTTCCCAACTTCCCAATCAATTGGGAAAGAGCTGTCAGTGACAACCATGTTTGACAGCCAGCAGCTGTCCACAGTGTAGGCTGCTATCTGTCTGCTAGCTACAACGTCTGCTATGAAGAAAGAATAACATTCTCTCAATGTGTAGCATCGTTATGTAGTTGGATTGGGGATGCAAGAGTGCAGAGAGATGTTGTCATTAGCAAGCCATGAAGCTTTCACACTCATCTTCTATTTAATCAACTTGATGAGCTTTTTACTCCAAAAATATTCACTTAAGTCTGACCTTTGGTGTGGACATGTGCTGTCACACACATTAGATATGCTCTTTAATGCAGTGTATGCAGAATTGTGACCCTTGCTGGAAGACACAGTGCAGCCCAATTAAAGCAGTTTCTATAACTTTCAGCAGGAAAAATGTGTTTAAATTATGCAAAATCTGAAATAATTGTGTATTTCTAGAAAGTAATTCCTGTGCCATTTGAGAACCCCCTTTGGTGCAACGGCCCTATTAGTAAGTGTTTATTTATTTATAATGTATCTTGAATGACTTTAGGTGACATACTTTTCAGACTAAGAAATGGCCAATCTGCATGTGTATGGTCAATTAAAGTTTAAGCATGCAAGCCTCTTGTCTTAATTTGCATTGTAACTGTCTCCCTTTATATTCAATTACAAACCATAGGCGCTATTTAAATCCTGTATAATAATATTAATTGTTGCACACACAAAACAACCCCTTTTCTAACATGTATGCACAACGAATAAAGAACATTAAATACAGCTGTTAAGTATTTAGGTTTACTTACAAGAAAAACAATGACTCTAACCCAGTGAAGAGCTCTTGGCTGACTTTTACAATGGGGTTTTCATCAAGGATTCTAAAAATATACAATAATTAAACAACACATTGACACATGTGGCACCAGTAAATATAATTATAATTTTATGCAAATATTACACCTGCAGCAAGATAATAATGCCTCAATTATCAATGTGCAAAATATGAACCATCTTGGACAGTTCTTATTATGCACACAAAGATAAGTAAAGCAGAATGTTCTTTTTCCATAAAACCATACAGACATTTTATAAAGTGTTTATAAAGTAGTTGCACATAAATAGGTCATTTTCTCTATTCTCATGGCAGGGATGCTTTTTACAATTTTTGCCTTTTAAATATAATTGTATTCAATTCATACTATGAGACCTAGAAGGGTACAGTATGTCCCTGAATACCCCTGGCTGTCTGCATTGTGTAGTGCAGGAAGTAACCCACCACAACCTACTCATCAGGAGCATATAGCTCTCATGTAGTCTGGAAGGACAGTCAGCAGGCACCCAAGGAAAAAAAAGGAAAGGGAAGCATTTGAATGGGGAAAGGTAAGTGGCCATGCAGAATGTTTACATATTAAATTACAGGAAATGAAGGGGCAATATGAGTTAAAACACTAGATTCCAGGGTATAATGGGGCAATATATAAGGTAACACACTAGAAGCAAAAGACTAAAAGTACAATCAATGTTACTGCACAATTAGACACTAGAAAACTTATAGCATAGCATAGATAAATTCAAGAAACTTTTAGATGAGTTTCTAGAGTCATTAAAATACTATATTGTATTGTATCTCCTGTATTGTTGTCTGGATCTTGGCGTTGTGTTTCTTTTACCGTTCTTCCTCTTTTTGGGATCCTCTATTTCAGGAGAGGGAGCTGCACTGGTGGGGGATGCTTGTTGCCTTGGGATGCTGGTGGTGGATGCTTGGCCTGGGGGAGGGAGGTTGCTGCTGGTGGTGGATGCTCATTTCAGGGGTTGCACGTGCTGACAGTGGATGGCCGTTTTTTTTGGGGGGGGGGTGGGGTGGCTGGGGTGGTGTTTTTTTTTTTTGGGGGGGGGGGGGGGTCAGCTGGTGTCCCGCCCAGCACACTGACATCACAGGTTGCCAAGTTGCTAACAACCTGAGACTGTCTGGCCAGCACGTGACCCAATAAAATGCATAAGGCTGCCTCATTGTAGTGATGGCTCTGTTGCAAGGCTAGTTGCCTGGTTGTCTCTGGCTTGAGCACCTTCTATAATTCTGACATGGAAAAAGCATACCGATTCCCAGTCAGTGACTTAGCAGGTACTGAAACCATTAGATCAGAAATAGCATTTTCATAAAGAAAGGTCAGCAGTGGCAGCCTTCATAGGTTCTCAGAACAGGTATCTTCAATGAAAGATGTCATAAGTATAGCTACCTGTTAGAGTAGCAGTTACACCTCCCCTAGAACTAACATTTATCCTGGCAGCTAGAGAATGACTACCATGCTTGGTGAATAGCAGCTGTTTCTCAGAAAGAGAGCTACCTTAGAAAGACTGAGCTGGTATATAAGTAGACTTCATAAATCACTGGGTGCATTCATAGAGGTGGAGGGGGCAGAATATGGGTAGACAGCAGTGGAATAGAAGAGCTGGCAGTAAATCTGTACTAGGATAGGGAAAACGGTGCTTAATCCCTACCAGCAAAATACTAGAGCATCGTTCCAGTTGGATTTTTTCTTTTCTGGAGGCCAATCTAAATATAATTTTTAATATTTTATCATGAGCTGCAAAGCAAAGTGAGTAAGAATTCCAATAAAATCTGTAATAAAGTCTGTATATTTTTGTGGCTGAACAAATGCATTTATAATAAACCAATGAAAGTATGTTTATTTCATACCTTCCTGTATTAAATTTTAAACAGATGTCTGCTGTTGGGTTTTGATAAATGTGTGGATAAAAATGGACAGGCAGAAAAGTAGAGAACGGGAGACTGTACAATCTAGTTTAGCTCTTTGCCAGTGATTTTCTACTTACTAGTGAACTATTATTCACAAAAGAATGAAGAGTTTGGAGAAGGCAGGAGAAGTGACCAATCTAGGACAACATAGCTCAGCTGGAAAGTGAGCTGAATTGGCGGATTTTCCCAGTTCATCTATGTTGTCTTAGATTGGTCACTTCTCCTGCTTTCTCCAAACTCTTCACCCTTTTGTGAATAATCCTGTAAGTGTCAGTATAGGAGTTGTATTGCTGATTTGTTTTTGAAGGTGGATGCTTCAGGACTCTCATTCTTATTTTTGCCTCAAAGAACCAGACAAGCATAAAGCCGGAGCCCTGGGTCTGCATAGTTGGTTGGGGTCAGTAACTCATAGAGTATGTAAAACCAACACTTTTTTTTTTTAGCAAGAATGTAGAATAGAATGCTAGGATAGAATGTGAAAGGATTAGAAATCCTGTCTGGATTTTATTGCTCTGTGTTTTTTACCATTGGGGAGATTCAAGCTTACTATTGGTTCTATGATCATTGTCATAGAAATTGGCAATTAAAGTTACACTTTGTTCTTTTCAGAGAAAATTCATTTAAAAAAAAGGAGAACTATGAGGTAAGTGCTTTTCACTCACCTCATAGTTCTAGCCGACCTGTGACAATGAGACTGTCACAGGTCGGCTCAGTAGATCGGGAGGTGAGCGAACACATACCGGCGTTCGCTCACCTCTCGATCCTGTCATGGCTCTCTGCCGTGACAGGGGAGGGGCTGTATTCCCCCCTCCCCGCTCCGCCAACGCTGACTGGCGGAACGGATGAGGGAGGGGGCGGGTACAGCTGGCTCTGTCTCTAGATAGGCAGAGCCAGCTGTCAGCCACGCAGCTGAGCGGATCCCGGCACAATTGTCGGGATCAGCTTCAGCTGCGGCGTCTCAGTATACTCGAGCAGCAGCTCGCGGTATACTGCGGCGTCTCGGTATACCGCGAGCTACAGCTCGTGGTATACTGAACCTAGGGTGATGGGAGGACGCTACTTTGTGTCCTCCCGTTACCCTACGGAGAACTATGGGCAAAAGCCTTAACCCCATAGTTCTCCTTTAAAGGAATTGCTCTAAATGCCACACAAATCACTTTATAATTTGATACTGAAAATGTAATTCCTTTTTAAAGTGTAGCAAGCCATGATTTTCCTTACAACCACAGCTACCGTGCCCAGTATATAGTCCAGATTTCCCAGGATCCTCACCCCCTGTACATTACTCACTTTCTTTCTCAGAAGTTTGCACAAAGCCTGAGATCAGGTGAAGGCAGCCTGTTGTATGGAATACAGCCGGAGTGGGCAATTAAATTTCTGAAGGGGCCACATGAGAAACTGGGACTGTTGGGGAGGGCTGATTGACTGCACAGCACAGTACTGAATTACCATGTGCTGGAAAAAGTAGCGCATGCAATGCACCTGTTGTACTGTAAAGCATAGTAGGTCATTGTGCAGTACGATGCGTTAATCACATGGAACCATGTGATTAGCACATGACATAGGTGTGAACAGGCCCTGAATGAAGCCTTATTGTCCCCACATGTTGTACGTAACTGGAGCTGTAGGAGAGGACGGACACCACCAGGGGCTGCAGGAGAGAATGGACACAGTAGGGCAGCCGTAATGCTGGGGGCGGGAAGACATTTGTCACTGGTTGTTAGGACCGATCAGTGGTCCTAGCAACCAATGACTGCCTAGCAGGAGGACCCCTGCCTGGTTCATCCTGGTTCCTATGATGCCAGCAGTCCCAGTGATCAACAACTTTAGAGGAACATGGTCTGAACATGGACCCATCGCTGAACTTGGAGGCTGGTGCATCCACTGTCAGCCAGCCATAACCAAGTGCAGGTTGCCGTTTGGCCCGTGTCCGGACAGACAGGGTCGAATACAGCCTGTGGACCATAAAATGCCAGGTCCAGAATACAACATCCTGTAGAAAGTCCCTGAAATAAATACTGGGAATGCTGTGTTCCTTATAATAACCCCTGGCAGGATCATGTGATTATTGCAAGACAGAACCTCTTGCTTGGCCCGCAATCAGAAACAATTCAACACGTGCACTGACAGGGCTTGGCTCAATATCTAACCAACAGAATCAGTAATAATGTTAGCCAACATCTTTGCAATAAATTGAGTTGAACTGAAGGGGATTTCTCGCAATAAGTCTGAGTTTTAATTAGTGACTATAAAATATTTTATGAATGAAGATTTAATAAAGGTTTTTCAGAACAGTGGCTGCTTCCTACTGAGTGAAAATAATAATTATTGAATATTCATATGCATAATTGGACTCGATGGACTTGTGGACTTAGGTTGGACTCGATAGACTTGTGTCTTTTTTCAACTTGACTAACTATGTAACTATGTAACTATATAATCTCATGAAAATAATTTTGTATCGTCGAAGGAAGAGGGAAAGAGAAAGATGGAAATTAATAAAATATAAACAAAGCTATTAATTTGTTTAACCCCTTCATGACTAGAAGTCAGTGAAGCCCAGATGCCAAGACTAAAACTCCAAGAACAGTAACTCTATGACTAATTTGTCTACCTAAATAATGTTTATATTGATTTTAAGGTCATAGGCTTATATTTTGGTACACCGTTTTAAGAAATTCCCTGCTTGTGTTCTTTGGTATAAGCTGACAAATGGAAAAAAAAATGTAATAAAAATTCATTTTGTTTGTTATAATTATTTTGTTATACACAACTGTAAATATTTGTACACATTTTTTCACTGAAGTGAATATACATAATTTGTTGTGAAGATTCTCAACTCTTTTGTAATTTCCCCCAACTGTGCCCGAGTGTATTAATTTACAGATTGCTATCATCAAGTGGATAAAGAAACACTAGTGATTATATGTGGAGGCTGCATTTGAACTAGACATGTGCATTCGGATTCGGACGAACCTTCAAATCAACGAAAATCAGTTGGTTCGGCGGTTCGGCCGAATCCGAAATAATAATTTATTATATACCGGAATATACGAAAACTGTATTTGGGCATACCGAATACACCAAGATGGCAGCACTCAAACTGTATACCAAGATACACTTCAAAATAGAGCATAACCAGGACGCGCCGGTGGCCGATATGGCCGCCGCTCGTTCTGCAGGTTCAGTGTGCGGTTTCGGATTTGGAGGCACGTTGCCTCCGAAACCGAAACATATACATTTGTTTTCTTTGACGAAACAGACGAAAATGTTTTTAGCTTTCATTTGTTTCGTCCGAAAACAATTTTTTTTGCTGTGAACATGTCTACTAAAAACATTTTCTGCAAATACCTGTTGATCTTGCCAGAAATCGAGAGCCCTTGTGACTTCCTGTGAGCAGAATTGAAATCATAAACAATCTTGTCTGCCTTCCAAGCTATCTTCTAAGGACAACAAATTCCCCCATTTCCAATGTAATGGAGATAAAAAGACTAAAATGTGTTTTTAGTCCAAATCAGGAACACAGCCTAGGGTGATAACTGTGCTCCTCCATAGATACAGTACAGTGAGTGAGTGTAGGCTCCATAAGACAAGATGTGTTTTTTTTGCAGGATTACTGGGAGAAAACAAGGAGGAATTCTGAAAAATAAAACTAATTCAGCCACCACATCTAAGGTGCAATATTGCATATACTACAAAAATGTAGTTAGTTACATAGTTAGTCAGGTTGAAAAAAGATACACGTCCATAGAGTTCAACCTATAGAGATATGGAAAAAAAAAGGAAGAAAAGCCTAAACAGAACGCTATGCCCACAATTGCCCACTTTTGATCTAGAGGAAGGCAAAAACAATATTTTACATATTTGTTCTTTGGTTTAGACACACTTTAAGGGGGGGGGGGGGGTTGAATGAGGTGATTTTTGAAAATGTATCAAAACATTTTTTTATAGTTAAATGCATACTATTAACTATTTTTAAGGGTTAGAGTTCTTTATACAATGTGTTTTTCAATATGTGACTGCATTTATAAATGTGTGCCAATTTACAAGCAGTACTTTTATGGGGGTGTATAGCCTGCACATTAATCTCAGTTTCTTTATGAATCTCCAACAAACTTGTTTAGAGTAAAACAAAGAAGAACTTACAGCCATCTTAATTCATGCAAGTGCGCAAAGACCCCTTGCTGCAGGTACCTTATACAGTTGTTGCTGAGATATCTGGAAGTGGAAATAAATGGTATTGATAAAAGCATAATTGGAAATAATGCATTGCAGGCTCTGCTGATAAAAATGTAATTCCAATCAGCTTGAATACATTTAATATCAATGGTGTGTGACAAGCACAGACCTTTATTTCATGCAATTTACCAGTAACATGATTTACTTACAGTTTCTGAAGATGATACAATCCATAGAAAGCTTTCTGTGATATATTACTCAAGCAGTTGTATTGAAGGAATCTGGAGGGAACACGTCAGATAGTACTTAATGTTTTTACAAAAAGGTAAATAAATGGAAACTTGTAAAAACTTTTTTTCCCCATTTTTGCTCCTTTATATTTTAATGCTTTTGTCTACTGTTTTTAAATGTTGAATTCATGTGTTGTAATTCAGAAGATTACAACTTGGCTAAGACAAGCAATAGCTGAACAAACAAGCAAGCAAGCAGTGAAGTATGTAATAAGATTTATATTCAAGTGACCCTTTAAGGAATGCCAAATTCAGTTCTTAGTGATGGGTATTTGTATTTCTTGATATGATTCAGATAAAACCAAACCCCCACGTATAAAGGCCATGACATGCCCATAAAACCGTTTTTTTTTGAGCAGCCAGTTTGTGGTCATATCAGTCCCTCTCTCCTCTCTCCATATGAATACCTAATTTACCAACCCTGCAGTTCTTTCACTGTATGGTCTCTTCCCCCCTTTTAACACAAGCCTTAAAAGCTCATCTACCTCTACTAGCCTCCACATGATGTAACAATGATCATCTGTTTTTGGTGCAAGATAGCAACACCTACCATAAAGCATATCTAATCTCAAAACCAAAAATGTAATATATTGCAGCTTACCTGTCCTTAGATGTGGTGGTTGTATTCATACTACTAATATGCCCCTGTAACGGAGTCCATCCTGGGAGACAACCATAGCTCCCTCCATAGATACAGTGTAGTCAGTGTACCCACACTAGGAACAGGAAGTGTGTAATTCTCAGGATTAAAATAAAGAAATAAATCTGGAAAAATAAACCAATGCAGCCACTTCACCTAATGATTGGTAAGCTGCAATATATACATTTTTTGTTTTGGGTCTAGATAGGCTTTATCCACATCCAATTTATGCACTGCATAATCTTATTTTTTTATATTTCAATACCATAATTACATCCTATCGCTAGGTTAAGAAAAAACTACCCAAAGGTTAACTGCTTGTTTTTTTGGGATATCTTGTAAAGGACTATAACTTACCTGAACCCACTCTCCTACCCCTCTCCCCTACATTATGGCTTGTGGACTATCCCATGTTGTCCTTATGTATAATGCAGGGCTATGGACTTTGCATCAATAATATCAGTGGGCCTCCTACTGCCGAAGGGCAGGTGGATTAGGACACGTGCAAGATCTTGGAGCCTTGGATCAGATAAGTAAAAATCCTTTACACAATACTCCAATAATCTATGTAACAAAATATATGCAGAACATTTGAATGCTTACCATGTGTTACAATCGGATTATACAATCTCTTTTAGATCTACCAACAACTGTATTGCATGGACCTGCTGATTGGATACAGATTGATTGGGTAGTATATGTAGGTCCCCAATACATAGTTTTGGTAAATCTAAAGTTGATTGCACAAGGATTGTGAGGTCAGACTGTAAGGTGTATGGTGAGCTTTAGTGACAGTATTGTGCACATCTGGATTTCTGAATTGTTGTGCTTTAAATGGGTGATCGACCCATTATAAGATTTTAACAGATAGCTGGAATGGTGGAGGAAAAACAAAAAAATCATATCAAGATTATCAGTTTTAGAAAGACATTTGTGGAACAAAGTCCAGATGCACTTTATTGCCTTCCCAACATCCTATTTATTAGAGCTAAATTTCACAGAGGCCTCCAATGCACTTGCCCGGCTTCTTTCCACACAAAGAAACAGGCTGAAAATGACTGAACACAGGGATCTAGGACTTCTTCTTAGTACTTTTCAGCTTGATGTTGAGAAGCTGATATCCCTGTAACAAACACATTTATCCCATTGAAGGGTTATTAAACCCTCAGCGATCTTTGCATATATCTACTGCTAGTTAGCAGTAGATATATGCAAAAACATAAAAAAATAAACGTTTCAAAAGGGTTTAAAATCATATCTGTGTCTTCGCCGCGTGCTCCCGTCTGAACATCTGAAGATTCTTGGGTGGCCGCAAAAGATATTGGGCCGGGGGCATGCGCAGTTCAGATGTTCAGCTGGGAGACGAGGAGAGGCACATGGTAAGTAAATGCAGCAGCGTGCACCCGCACAGACTCCGTGGGACAGGAAGTGCCAGTTAAAACAGAGGAGTCAGCGCTGGACCAGAGACCGGCACCACGCTGGAGGAACTCCTGAAAACTACAGGAAAGAAGATGATCGGATCAGGAGGCATCATTTAAGGTAAT